GTTACCCTGGCTTTGTATATGTCGTTTAAAGCATAATAAAAAAAAAATAAATAAATAAAAAAAAATTAAGTGTCCAACATGCCACACTTCATTTTTCCGGTTATTTAAGTGCATCATCCGGGTATTTAAAGTGCACTTTTTCTTTTTTGGAATTTTCAGTGTGAACGCACTACTCGCATTATTTATGCTTACAAAACGTCATAGAATAGTGCATAAGTACGCGATTTGGGACACACCTAGTGACTTCCTAAAAACCAAAAAGAGGAAGTTGTCATGGGCAAACTTTTGGCATCTCTGAAAAGCTTAACATCTACCTGGATATTAGAGATATTAACACACACACACACACATACATGTTGGTTTTTATGGTTTATGGGGACTCTCCATAGGCGTAATTGTTTTTATACTGTTCAAACCGTATATTCTATTGCCCTACACCAACCCTACCCCTAAACCTACCCCTCACAGGAGACTTTGTGCATTTTTAGATTTTCAAAAAAACTCATTCTGAATGATTTATAAGCCTTTTAAATTACGGGGACACTCAAAATGTCCTCATAAAGCACCTTCTCGTTGTAATACCCATGTCATACCCATGTTATTATGCAAATTTGTGTCCTCATAAAACACATAAACACACACACACACACACACACACACACACACACACACACACACACACACAAATGCCCCCTACAAAAACATGAAATGTTGTGTCCCAGACGAAAATCGAAATGTCTGTATCTTACAGAGAGAGGAGATGCCAGCGCTACTGATGTGGAGCCCGACGCCGCTGCGGTCAGCTGTCCCGGGATGGAAATGGGATCTGGAGAAATACTGAGACTCTTCATCTTTGCAGGATCATCTTGTGCACCGCAGTTTTGCCAAGAAAAGCCCCACACCTATTCGATGAGAATAATGAACAAATGAATTATATACATATATATAAACAGTCCGAGCACAATATGTCACACCCTTACCGTAGTGAATTTAGAGACTCTCCTGCCGAGCAACTGACTCCAGCCTTCCAGCGAAAAACAGTTTACAGCGAAGAGAGCAATGCACACGGAAACGCAGCTTTTCATTTTGCACGGTTAATATTCAAAAAACACGAAGTGTACCTTA